ACAAAGCCACCACGCAGCAGCTGAGCTGTGGCAGCTACTCCCACACAGGCTCTGAGCCCGTGAGACCTGTAAGCCAATGGGGCTTTGCTGAGTCTGACAAAGAGAAAAGTTGAGCTGAGACTTCATTCAGAAGTGCCACGGGCACCCAGACAGCCACTGCAGAATGGCCTGAGATAACTTATTTGTCTGACATAACTCTTTCCGGAGGCTCAATAATAGAGAATTTTTTAGACATATCATCTCTTTGGAAAAACAAAGATTAAAAAATTCTCTTATCCACTCATTTACAAAAATGTAATAAAAACAAATAAAAGTGACAGTATTTCCTCTGTACTGAGGCAGAAAGTGCAGCCCTAAAGCATAAATGATTAAGTTTTTTGAGACTTGCTTCTTAAGAGCGTAATTATTTAGATTATAAAATACCTTACTGACTCCTTCCAACTGTAGAAATGCACTGTACCTTAATATTACTCCTATGCCACACAAACACAAAAATGATACTGAAATTCTCTGGAATATTTTCATTATGTTTTTTCTCCAGAGATGACATATGTTTCTAATAACTTGCCACTGAGAAAACAGATTTAGCAGGGTAGCAGCATGCTGAGAAAGATAGCAGGATTTTCAATTTTCAGATGAAAGCAGCTCTATTCCCTGGCAGCCCTGCTCCCAACCCCTCTAGGCCAGATCAAATTTTATCTGAAGCTAGCGGATGCCTGTCTTTGCCTTACATAGAAGTTGAATCAGGTTTTCTACATACCTGAAGCAAACAGTCTGAGCTCATAAAATAGAGCCTTTCAGCGAGCACTTATACCAGAGGGAAGCTGTTACAATTAACAGGATTTCTGAGCTTTGTTATTTATGTATGTTTAGCTAACAGAAGACCCAATTTTTAATCCCAAACCCATTTAACACTCATTCAGCAGACTCACTGCCATATCTACATCATCAAAAGGAAAGTGCTATGCAAATGATTCACGTCTACCCAGCACCTAACAAGGAACAGATTCTAAAATCTGTTAATTTGCGTAAGGAAAATCCATGGCAGTGTTGACAAGATTGCAATTAGTTGCTTTGAAAAACGTATCACAATCAGAAAATCATACAATCTTCGTCTCCAATGTTTTCCCCCAGGAAAGAAGGTATTTTTCAATCTTTGGACACAACTGCTCTACATACAAACTTGAAAGTGAAGCATCCAGTGACTCCTGTGTCCCAAAAGAAGTCTACATAAAGGAATATGAAGGTGGTGAGCCCCTAACCATGCTGCAACCACTGGTAGAAGTGTTCTCATTGAAGCCATGCAACTCACAGTGGGAAGCTTTGTTTCACAAATGGTTACCAACTGTTTGAAGAGCTGACACCAAACTTTTCTTCATGAATCTTCATGAACTTTTATTCAGTTTTTTTTTTTTTTCCCCTTTTACCAACTTTTTACATATGAAAACTGACAGAGTACTTTATCAAGTTCTCTAAAAATACTGTCTTACTAAAAATACGATTAAACAGCAAGACATACATGAAGATATACCAATGAACAAAAGAAAACCAAAAGTCTGTTGCTGTATCGACAACAATTTGACAAATCAAACATTGCAACTGCTTCTCTCATACTAATGGCTGGGACTACATTTTTGTACAGCTCTTGTTTCTCTTGATAAAATCATTTCTTCCCTAGGAGAGCTTAGTGCTTTGGATGTGACATTTGTCTATCAGCTCTGTAAAGTAAGAATGAAACTATATTTAACTCTAGAAAGCCATGAGTTTTAATGCATTCAGAGCTGCTGAAGAATCAGAATTAATCTTAATGAGAAAACTTTTATCAAGTGTAACTCTATCTTTTCCCACCCAAATGGGACTAATTTGTTCCATTATCTCTAAAAATACCAGCTAGACACTTTAACTAAAGTCTCCAAAGCGTGTTTGTTCAATTAACAACCATGCAAATGTACAACCACTCAATCGTGCCAGGGGCTGCTTCCTGAGCATCTTCAGATCTCTCATAAAAAGCTGAATCAATCACTGCTAGGGAGTTCTTCTTGCCCATGCCAATGCCACGAGATAGGTGCTGGGATGCAAAGAGGGCCGTGAACATCACTGTACCGCTGTCAAAGTTTGGCAGAAAGAAGACTAACACAGCCGGATCCTCCTCATATACATGACTATATTCCTACATAACGAGGAGTTGAGTCTTTCTTCAATTAAGGTTCCTCAGGAACTTGGGAAGCTAGCTGTCGGTGAGTCAAAGCCTGCAAGCTGAAGGAGCTATTCTGGGAAAATTGTTCTTTTTTCTGTTTTGTGGTTTGTTTTTAACCTGAACAAGCAGTACAAGATTTGGCTGTGAGGTATATAACCTTAGAAAGTTTTCTCAGCTTCCACTGCACTCAGAGGGGATTTGGGAGCACTTGGATCTTCCAAGAAGCACTCCTCAGCATCTTGCAGATGCTTCATTAATGACCAGATAGGGTCTTCATGTATTAATATATCAAATCTAGGAAGTAAGAACAGAAAGAATGCTTAACATCAAGCGTGATAGCGTAGAAGAATATGCAAAGCAGGCTCTCTAATTTGCTTCCCAAGCAAAATATGGGCAGATGACATCAATTTGTCTATGCATAAGTGCATCTGCCAAAATATTTCTACATCTGTTGTGAAAAGAAACCTGATAAATGTTCAAAATATACAGCGTAAGGATCTCATCCCTGGTGTTCTCAGAGCACCAGACACTTCCATTCATACACGTTTATAAAGAATAGAAAGATTTTGTTACTTCCACTGCACTGGCCTGAACTTCTGCAAAGACTCTGCTATGATGAGGTCAGCTGAGACAAAATTTGGCCTTTAAGAGTGTATGTCAAATACCTAAAATATCTAGGAGGGAAAATTCTGAAACATAAAACAGACTTTGTTTCATTACACATCTGTTATGCAAATAACATTCACACATCACTAATTCTAAAGTCTAAATATATGAAAGCAGAAAATGAGAGGTTAATAACGAAACAAGAAGTCAGTTTGAAACCAACTTTCTCTAAGCCTAAATATTAAACTTTTGAAAGCAGATTGGATAGTTACAGAGGAATTAAAACTATCATGTACTTTTAAATTGTTTTCTGTAGATGACTTCTCTAATGACAAGTATATTTTTCTTAACTTCTTTTAGAAAGAAGGAAGAATGTGGACTGCAGAATGCAGCACAAAGAACTGCATCATGCACTTGGGATTTAACAGACTAAATGCGTGACTTCAGTAACGTGCTGCGAAAATGCCACAACAACAACAACAACAATATACAAAATCCCCTAGAACCATATTCATAACGTTTATTTTTGTAGCCAGCTAGGCTAAAACATGATCCAACCAGGACAACAGAAAGGCTCCTGCTACAATCTCAGTTTGGAAATGGACCCTTTTTGCTTATGGCCCTGAGTGGATCAGGGTCTTTCCTGCTTGTCAGAGATGCACGTGGCCCAGTACTCTTGAGAGGGCCAACAGCACATCCACCAAGCCCTCACACCAGTACTGTGCCTTATGCAAAATGATCTTAACCCAATTAAAATACGGAATTCTGTGCTATGCTGGGGTTAGGCAAGAAAAGCAAATCTTGCATTTTAAAGATAGGGGCTACGGAGCCAAACAGAGCTCAGATTTGCCTACCCCAGTGACATGAGAAAGAATCGTGCTCAGGACTGAAGTGACTGCTGTGCTGCCAACCGTTACAGCCACTATTTTTTGCCAGCTGCTCCTACTGTTTTGAGCTGCACTGCCAATGACAGGGGCACTTCTTTAAAAAAAAAAAAAAATCAGTAACAACAATAGTTTGACTTCTTTCATCTGGACAGGTCGTAAGGATATGAAGAATGAGATAGAACTGTCAGAGATGTTATTCTCTGTCTCTACAGTCAGGAAGAAATCAGCTAAAAAAAAAAAAAAAATCAAAATGAGACCAAAGATTTTCTTTCTGATGTCTGCTTTTGAAAGTAACAGAAGTAAGTAAAGGTCAACAGCACTGTAAGAGCTGAGCATGAAAGACTTCTTACAGGTGACCCAGTGAGGCTCACTGCAGATAGGCAACTCGCCCAGTGGGCACGTTAACATTAACATAACACATTATTTTAAAAGTTGGATGTCCTTATGCTTAAAAACCACACTGAGCTTTCATGACTTCTCAAGACAAGGATGTTTACCAGCACGTAACGCAAACACTCCCCACACCACTAAGCATGCAGTCTAAAGGCAGTCCTGACTGCGGGCCAGGAGAACAGGTGTGTGCCGATCCTGGGGCAGGTCACACGCCGAGGCCCGAGCTCTCGGGGAGGGCAGAGGCTGAGCCTGGGCAGGACAGCCGGCAGCGGCGCTGGGACAGCCAGGGAGAACCTGTAGCCGCGCTCCCCGGGCGTCACGGCCAGCAACGCTCTGCCCCGCCGCAACCCGCTCCCAGCGGCCCCGGGGCACACGGGCGAGGGCTCCCGCCGCAACCCTGCCCGTGGGAAGTTAACGGCAGCGTGACGCTGTCATTTGGAGGCTCTGTTCTACGGGACGCCGTCCGCTTTCTCCCCTCAGCCCGCTTTTCGGCAAGGGAAGCGCACACCCCGTCAGCGAGTCGCTCCCAGCTCCTTTACAGGCAGAAAAACAGAACCTTTGGCTGACTCCGAGATCTTCTAAAAAGCCACAAGCGTGCGACTTCGCGCTGACAACCCCAGCAACCGAAAACAGCCCAGCGAACCCCACCAGCCACGCAGCCGAACGCCTGCGAAGGGCGAGCGCCGGCCGTTCGGCGGGCCGGCACCCGGCGAGGCGCCCGGCAGCGGAGACGGTCCCGGACTCCGCCGGCCTCGGGCAACCGGGGCCGCCCGGGCCGCGGCTCAGGCCGCTCCGCGCCCGCAGGACGGAGGGACGGCCGGGAAGCGGGCTGTCCGCGGAGACCCGCCCGGCCGTGCCCGGCCGCGGCCCTCCCTCTCCCCCCCGCGGCGGCGGCGGCGGCGCCCCCCCCCGCTCACCGTGCTCCGGCCGCCGTCGCGGGGCCGCGGAGGGAGAGAGGGCCGCGGGGCGCTGCGCGGACGGGGCGGGCGGACTCGCTGAGGCGGCCCCGCGGCTCGGCCCCGCTGCTTGGGGCCGGCTCACACGTCAGCCGCCACGAGACCCGGATCTGCCGGCTCCCGGCGGCGGCGGAGGGCCGGGGCGGTGCCGAGCGGCTCCCGGCTCCCGCCCCCCCGCACCGCCCCTCGCGGCCCCGCCCGGCCCCGCCGCCCTCCCGGCTGCTCGCGTGGTCGGAAGCGGTGCCGCTGCTGGTGTGCTTTTCACCTCCCTGAAGAAGGAGGGAATTTGTGGTGCAGATCGTCGCTCGAAGCTTGTTTGGATGCTCGTGACTCAGAAGGCTTCTCTGCAGCCATTCCCTTGAAATAACGTCCTTAGAAGCTGTGGAACGCAGAAAGGAGAACTTGAGACGGTGGTTTCCAACGTCAGCCGGCTGGACGCCCTCATGCAGCCGTGGAGCGGCGATGCCGTGCTGCCACGCGAGGGTCAGGAACAAGTCTTGCCCTGGGGACAGCGATACCATTCCATAGCGCAGCGGGGATCTCATAGGGAAGGAAATCTTGTAATCCAGGGCAGATTACTTGCCTCGGGCCAACATGGATCAAGTTGCAATCGCAATGAGAAAGGAGGGCTGGATAGATACTGCAATTTCTCCCAGTTCCGTAGTTCCCCACAGCACAAAAACCTCCTGCGATCTGACAGGGCTCACATGAGAGGACAGCCTTGGCTGTGCTCATCGCGGTTCTCTGCTCTCACGAGGAGCTCAAGCCTTCTTTCACTGCTATGGGGATGCCGTTTATTTTCTTCTGAGTGCTTTTTCCTAGCACTGTGTGCCAAGCCCACGTCACTCTTTCCAGCATCAGGCACGGCACCAGCTGGCAGCTTTGCACTACCAGCAATCCTTGGTGTGCAAAGCCACGTCCCTAACACGCAACCCAGGTGCCCACGCCCATTGCAGGTCTGGCCCTGGCAGACCTTGCAATACTGCAAGTGAACAGAGGCACAGACACAAAGCCGGGCCACCACAGGAAAAAATCTCAGGAATGAGCCATTCCAGAAGCAAGCAGAGACAATTTTTCCAACATCATTAAGAGGCCTTACCTACCTGTGTGCCCTTCCATACCTAACACTTAGGGCCAGTCATTGCTCTAGAAAATGGAGCTGAGATCTGAAATCCCCAAACCAGACACAGCTTACCTTATTAGTCCTAGCTCAAACAAGAGAGCAATGGCAAATCATAAGTAGTGGAGAGGTTCCTATTATCAAGCTGAAGCAGAAATGCTTAATACTTCTATTTTCTTGCCTGTGGATAAAGCTAAACTGTCTGTTGTTGCTAAATGGATGGAAAGCAAACTTAGGGGAACTTGTAGAATTGGGAAGAGAGTCTCATAGTGACTGATCCATGGCAAACTTGTACTGTTGTAAAATTGGAAGGGATAAACTAGATGAGCTAGACAGGCTCAGATGCCTTGTCTTAATATTAATTATTATTATGTAATAGCATGAACTTGCAAAGATGCTGCAATGGAGAGGCAGGAGCTGATGGAGATGAAGACCGAGCAAACTGCAAGAAAGCACTATGGAATGATGGCATTTAGAGCTACATGTGAGGTGACTTCTTCTACTGCTTTGAACCAAATGCAGCTTCCTTCAAACTCCACGCTTTGCATCTTTCTGGCTCATTTCTCAAACAGTCCCATCCAGAAACACGTATTACATTGTAATCTCTTGAAATCATCTCTTGATAAGGCATGCATGCAGCATTCCAGCCAGGCAGCATTCTAGGTGGGGTGCAAATGCTCACACCCCTCCCTATTCCATTTTTCCCCCCTCACATTACTACTGCAAAGCTCTACATATCTGTAAATAGTTTTACAAAACTGGTCCCATAAAAAGCTAGCCTTTTTCAGTATTGCATTCTGTACTATATGCACTGCCTTTTTGACAACAAAATCTGATTATTTTTCTTTGTTTAACATATATGTTTCCATTGGCATTCTTGAAAAGATGGGAACCTAGTGAACCTAATGAAGGATAGATTGTTGGAGAGTGGTTTTCAGGTAATGAAACATCAGAGTATGAACTGTCAAGGAAGAGGAGCAGGCAATAGGAGCTACGTAAAGTACAGACCAGGAGCAAGAGAAACAATGCATAAGGTTATTGCTTTCAAATCAACAAATGCATGTATACTATATGTAGGCAGAAAGCAGTTAAGTATTTTACATAAAACATCCTGTCAGCATCCCTCAGTGCATCCCTCTGAATTTGGCCCTCCTGGTTCCCACGGGCAAATGAACAAGCCATAGCAGGCAGTGATTCTATCTCAGCTTCCCACTCCCAGGTTTCAGCCATCTGCTCCCCCTCACACTCAGAAATTTAGTGCACAACACAGCAATAAAATGAGATTCTGATATGGAGGCTGTGTTCAGACTCACTCTGTGAAGTGTCCTTCCTGGCAGGAAAACTACAATGAAAACAGTGATGATTTAGGCTACCAGTAATGACTTTATGAAAAAAGGCATGAGGTGCATTCAAGATTGGCTAGTAACAACAACAAAATTGTAAATCCATTGATTTTGGCACAGTAGAAATAATTGTACTGCCCACTGCCAAGGAAGAATACAAAGACAACTCCGATTGAAGGGCAGAAGATGGTAATGTTCTTTCCACCAATAACCCTGTACAATAGAGGAGGGTTGAGCAAAACTCAGTATGTCGTTCTCTAGATCTGTCAACTGAAAGTAGAATGAATTGGGCTCTCTGTAAAGCCTCAGGCAGATGCCACATTCCAAATCACGGTGCTAGCTTTCTACTGCTTAACCCTAACAGGCAGTGGAAAAGCAGGATTCATGCTGATGAGCTAACTTGACAAATAGTGAATTAATTTGTTACAGATATCCAAAGCATTACCTTTCCCATTGTGAAGCACTCCTGCTGATGTTCTTCTCATCTTTGCTGCCTGACTTGTGCCACTAGGCATTGTATTGCTCCCACCCAGATACCCTGTGGAATGGAAATTCTTCAGCTGCAATTCATACAGGATCTGAAAAATGACCTAGAAAATTGGGCAAGTCCTCTTAACTTTTCTGTCTGCTTTCTCTTTTCCTTTAAGCAGTCTACATAATGCTGTTCCCAGAAGGAATCTTCAAGAAATTCAACTCAAAATATTGATGCTGAAGAGCTACTTGGAAGTCATCTGTATCATGGCCTGAAAATGGCATCCAGCAAATGGAAAGAAAAAAAACTATAAAGTAAATACCCTTGTGATAGTATGAAGGTATGAGTTGCCTTTTGGCAGCAACGTCTCTTTTTAGCAATACTTTAAATTAGAAAGAGGCATCTAATTTTGGAAAAAGAAGACAAATCCTCAGAAGAGTTGCTCACAGACATTCCTAGCTGGGATGGCATCTCACAGCACACTGGAGAATTGCAAAGTACTCTGGGATATTAGGCAGCAAGCCTGCAAATTAGCTGGTACAAAGCTTGTATTGTGTGCTCAGGTTAATGTAAGAGAAATGTAGTCATTTGATCACAACTGAACCAAACTTATGCTGCTAGATTTTCTTAATGCACAGATACAAGCTTAATGAACATCTGACCATAACCTAAGCTGTCAGGGCTCACAGAAAAAATATGGCTTGGTCAAAAGTAGGAATTCTACTGAAGCTGCCAAAGGAGGGCTTTTGTACTCTTGAAGCATCAACTCACCAACACAGACTTTTAGATACCAGCCATCAGTCAGGGGAAATGATCACAAAGGATTGCTATAATGCTGCCAGATCATAGCTGGCCAGTGATGTTTTCCAAACCAGGAAATGGAGGAATGAACTCTGAAATGAAGGGGATAAGGATTATTTTACGTTTAACTAGAATATTGACTAGTAGCTTACAATAACTGTGAAATGAAAGGAGATCAATTGGAATGTTAACAGGATTAGGCTGAAAGAAAATAAGAATAGAAGATTAATGTCTGAACCACTGAATTGTTAATGACAACACTGACTGGTAAAGTCATTTGAGTTAGGTTGAAAATTGGATCTGTGGAATAAAACCAGTACATCCTAAGTAACCACACAAATTAATAAGACAAAGGTCTGCTGAATTTCATTGTGTTTGACTATTATGCAATCTCTGGTAGCAACATAATTTGCAAATACTTTGGAAAATCCCCTCTAAAAATGAGGTCTAAGTGGACCAACACTAGTAAAACCTTAACAAATTGTTTTTCCTCTGGAGCAGAAACCATAATAGCAGCTGCACAATTGTGGTGGCTTTCTTGCAAAGAAAACACAAAAAGCAGTGCAAACTGCTTCTTGAGTCACCGTAGTTCACAGCCATAAACTGTCTGCAGCCATAAACTTACCAGCAGCTATCACTGCTACATTCATCTGAAAACTGCTGCCACTTGAGAAAAATACATACTGTGTCACACTCTGTGTTCAGAGCCATTTCACCATTTTATCTGAATTTGCCTCTGAATTTGAGTCAGAGCCCTCAACTGCTACAGTACTTATGGACTTGAAATAAAAATGAATTCCTGTTCATTTTCCAAGTGAACATCTAACAGAAGACATATCTAATACACAAACCATGGGCACAAATTTCAAGCCCACTGGTATAATGAATGTATGTGTAGAAGAATGTGTTAGAGAAGGATATGAAAATAGGACCCCAAAGGATGTTCTGAACACTTTACTATATCTAATATGCATCAGGGAATCAAACTTTTCTGGTCAGGATTTGGGAATTATTCTGATCTGACAGGAATATAAGTACTTTTGTAATTGCTAATTAAAATATAATGTGATTACTCAGTATACAGTTGAAATTTAAGAGTGATTGCTCATTAAAAAAAAAAAAGGCATTATTTACTAAGAACAAAGAGAGATAAAAAAAGGGAAGACACTTAACATATGACTGAGAAGGTGTGTCAAAAGGTATGACTCATGCCAGTCATTAAAAAGATGGCAGCATCTGTGTATAGACTACAGAGAACTAAATCAAATTGTTGGAAGAGAATCTGATCTATTATCATGGTAAGTGATACTCTGGTTTCTGTAGTGCTTTCAACCATGGTTTTCATCTTGAATTTTAGAAGATTGAGAATTGAGAAA